TGAATGCTTAATTCTTCAAGTAAGTTAGGTACAATGTTTTATCACCATTCAACTAAATTTCTCTTCATCGAACTCTCTGTCTTCAAAATTTGAAATGACAACAATTCTCGAATATATAAATTGTACTGATTGGCAATAATGCTTTAACAACATGTGATAATAAAAAAGAACTCTGTCTAGTAGCAAATGATATCGTTCTTAGTCCCAAAGTTTTAATTATAATACTTTTAATCATTTGCCTTGGGCGCCATCAATCTTCTTTTTAAAAAGAATAAGAATTTGTCATTGGTAGATTTTACTTGGACATTTATTTTTGGATGATATGACATGCAATAGGATGAAATGGAGACAAAGGAATCGTGTAGCAGACTCCGCTTAATGGGATAAAGACTTGTTGTTGTATTTATTTTTAGATGATGAACGAAATCAAATTGAGCCACACTCCTTGATTTTAACAAAAATCTTTGAGCTAATTATCTATAAGATGAGGCCAATTGTCAACAATAATTACTAATAATAGCCCAAATTGATAAATGATATCTATTCAAATGAAATAAATGATAATTTTTTAAGTGAATTTTGCTAAATTCATTGCTTCAATCCACTCAATGAAGTGCTCAATCATTACAACAATAAATATTCTCTTTCCATTTGATGGTAAGAAAAAAGCTAATTAGATCCATTTCCAAAATTGTGAATAGCCATAGATTGTACAACATTGACCAACATGATTCTTGCTACACTTTTTAACACTACTTTAATTCCAACCCCTAAAAGAAGTGCTTATTTGAAAAAACAAATTTTGATTTTCAATGACTAATACTTCCTCTATTATCTTAGAAGTTTTAAGTCCAGAGCCTCAATAAATTTCAAGATTAATAATTTTCCCCTAGACATTTTCCATAGGGCATACCCTCAATTGAAAAGGGACATCGCAGCATGCATCCCTACCTGACTACAAGTTGTAAACGTTACAACAGTATGATACGTGGAAGTAATTCAAGAGTAAACAACTCAAAATTGTATTGTAGGTAGTTCAGGTATCAACTATATGATGAAGTGAACCATTGTTGTATATTTTTTTTCTCCTACCTAAACAACTAGCACTATAGTCACTCTTTTTTTTCCTCCTCTTTCACCTAAAATGCCAAATAAGGGTCCCAAGTTCTGCAATAGGCGAGACATCCAATCTTAATTTTATTAGATATTTTTAAAAATTATAGTTGTAAAACTCCCATGTCGATCAATATATTGCCAAATTAATAGTTCATAATGAGTGATAATCAAAATTTTGTTATTATAAGGATTACCATTCAACAATCTATCAATTCTAGATAAAGTAACTAATACCACATCTTTTAGCATGCTCTATGTACAAATTAAAGTTTTTTGACACTTCCTAGTTAAAAGATATTTTAGAACCACCGAGAATGGCAAGCAAAACTCTGGTTAAGTGAATTGCTTGCATTGAGATGGTTCATTCTGGCCTCTTCCATTAGTGTATTACTTGACCTTCTACCTAGTTAAGCCAAAGTAAATTCCTTCAACTTCCTTGGCTTGATAAGCTCCTCCAAGTATGAAAGATGTCTACAATTCACGTGCAGTAATCATGGTCTCTATGAAATGCACTTAAATCCTTCGTATGTGGACCCACCTTCAATAAAGTAGGTCATTTGATGTAATCTTTGTTATGTATAGCCTCTACAAGCTCAACCATAAAAACATGCAACTGCAAAATAATTGAATATTAGTAAGTAAACTAGTGACTTTTTTCTCCTATCCTCATCACAAATTTAATTTTAAACTAGCCTCTCTTAGTAAGGAAGTTGCGGATATAGGTAATGCTATTACAAAAGTGTGAATTCTTCCCTTCAAAACTTTAGTCTACCTTATGGGGTCCCTAAAAAGTTAAAAAAATTTCCATTCCTACTCAAAACTTAGCAAATCTCATGTCATCACAACCATCTCACTATTATACCCTTCTACATAGGCATGAACATTATTTAAGTTCTAGCAAATCACTCATAGTTCTCATCTATTGCAGTCCAAGTGCATATCGAAAAGGCCTTCCTTCAGATCTTTCAGTTAAGGAAGTTATAATTGGCTCCAAATCATTCAACTTCAACATTTCCTTCTAGCCCTTGCGATGAAGTTCGTCAATGATTCGCCTAGCTTCTACCCTATCTTCAGTAAAGCTTGTGAAATCATTAATGGTTGTTAGGTACTAACAAATTGAATAATGAACAAACACTTGAACACAACAAATGATATATTAGTCTCAAAGGACAAGCATGAAATCACTTGATAGTCAACTCCTTAAGTGTTACAAAAGATAGCCTTCATTCCAAAGTATCGTTAATATCAAGTAAAAAAGAAGTAGATCCAACATAGGTGGCATGATCCACTGGGTTATTTTTTGTGGGGGAAAATCATGATGTGTAATCTTAAACTTCATAAGAGGTTTAGCCTCAACAATCTCCATATAGCAAGCACTTGTCAGTTATGGCTTCCTCTTTGCAAAACATCTCTAATTCGTGAGTTGAAGGAAATGAATCTTCTTTGTTGACGGGTTAATACATTTCATCATCAGCTAGAGTGATAGGCAAAACTCTAGCACTGGAATGATACCTTTGGATGATTGGATTAAATGATTCATTTAGTAGCTGCACCTTAGGAGTTACCTTTAAAATTTGCTCTGTAATCCCTTGTATCATCTTCCTAGTCAATTCTTCCAACTTTGTTAGCTATTGTGAAATTACAAAATCATAGTGTTTCATGCTTACTAAAGTCTCTCTGGTTTGCTAATTTGTAATCTTTTGTAGATCCCTTTTGATTATTGGCATAGATCCCACGCCCACCACACCTTTGAGGATGTTAGATTTTAATTAATTATTTTTTAGTTACACCAAAACTTTACCAACACTAAGTGAAAAGAGAAATAAAAGAAAGATTATTTTAGAGTAAGAAACTCTGGCATTCCATTAGTATTAACTGATTACAAGAACAACCCAATATCGTATAATTGCATAACTACGAGCTTTTCCAAAGACACTATTTATAAATTACATCAAAACATGAGCATTATATGAAGCTACACATTAAATTACAAAAATAGAAAAGATATTTAATGAAACCCATTAGAGTCCACAGCATTCACAGAAAGAAAAAAAAAAGCAAAACAAAAAGGAAAAAAAATTCTCTACATTAATAATTTATTTAATTACAAAAGCTAAGTCAATTTATTGTAAAATACTATTACTTGAGTCAAGACCACCGAGCCACTCACTCGACTAAGGGCAACGAAAAAAATCATAGCTAGTGAGAGTTTGTTGATATCCTCCTTAATGTCCACCACTGGCCTACTCGAATCACCTTTTACTAATCTCTTAGTTTTCTTTATGGTAGGCCAGTTGACTCGTATTCAACATCTTATATTCGAAGGTACTACTCTTGATACTTATTGTAACTTGTGATTGACAAAGTTTACAATCTTGAGAGGAGTTAACTCAACATTTGTGCTAAGCAAAAAAATTATATTGATAATCAAAAAGGAAGATAAAAGGTAGCTATAAAATAAGGAATTCCGCCAGCATTTATACGTGGCCAAAATTTCTTACATAAAATTCATAACAGCATCATTACAAAAAATTAAATGAGAGCATTATTCCCAATGACAAGAGTTAAGTGAGTGAAAATTATCATTTCACTGTTTTATTGATCATAAAAGTCAATAGATGTCTCACCTAATTCTCTTGATCCATTTTCCAATTGACTATCCAAAGGTGAAATAGGATTGAAAATTAAGTGTATCACAAAAATGTATATTTCAAGATGACAACACTAAAGAACTAGCGCAAATCAAAGGATCGTGAGCAAGGTCTAAGAAAAAGCTTGCAAAACTAAAAATGTTGCTCATCTAATATAAGAAAACTTTTGCCTCACTCAAAGGTATTTACCTAGCTCAAAAACACTTGGAATTCAAAATACCTAACCTAACTCAAAGAAGCTGGCTCAATTCAAAGAAACTCTCCTAGATCAAAAGCACTCTACTTAGCTTAAGAACAACTTAACCTAATTTACAAGCTACTAGCCCAAATATTGGGATCACTCGCCCATTCCAAAAGAAACCTTCTTGAGTTATAGAAAAAGCTCAACAAGCCCCTCCATTCCATCCAATGAACACACCCTCAACAATTTAATTAATGGCTTAGCATACTTAATTGAGGGTACCTTCAAACACTTGTCAAGTCACTCATACACATGCACTTTCCTGAATCTTAATTATTGTGTCTGTAACGATCAAATTATATATTTATTTTTTTATTCTTCTTGTGTAAATTTTTCTATAATACTCAAAATCAAGTAAAATAGGCCAAATGAGTTAGATTCAAGTCATCTATGTTATTCTGAACTTTTGAGCTATGAATGAATAATTTTTTCTTGTGTCAGATCTCTTTTCTTCTCTCTCTTACTTCTCTTACTCCCAATCTTGCCACTCACACATTCTACAAACAGGGTTCTAACATCATCACAGATAGATCTAGATCCGGTGATGAATGAACCAATTCACAAAGAGCATAAATTCTAGCAAAATTTATTCAAAGCATCCCAGCACTAATTAGCTGGCCATCATTCCACCGGCCACATGCACATTAAGAAATCCAATTGCACACTTAAATATCGAAATTCCAGTAATATTTATAAACTTCTCATCAATTATCAGACCAAAAAAAACGAGAAGTTTCTGTACATCACCCTCAAACCAATCGATTCAATCACCATAACAAAATAGTGTTCACCCAACCTAATCAGATAACAACATCGATCATCTCCGAGGGTCTAATTCCATAAAGAAAACGTAAGTTAAAATTAAGTTTTCGAAAGCCACCATAGTTTGGCAGCCCGACAGCACTAATCATCTAACAACGGCAACAAGAAGGAAGACATCGCTTCACGAAGAATCAAAGCAAAATTACAAGCTGAAAATCAGATCATGGCACCTTACCTCGGCGCGCTTCAGCGAATCGAGCGGATTTTTTATCTCCCGGCGATTTAGCAATCAAGAGACCAGTGGACTCATGATGCGGGAATGTTGGAGATTGTGCCAATCGACATTTGCTCGGTTGAATGGGCCGGCAGCCCGGCATCGTCTACACCAATGTCGTAAAGATGATGTGACATAAATATAGAATATAAAAATTATTGAAAACGTAAATACTGTTGAAAATAATTTGTTTATTATTATAAAATTTAATTATCCTATAATAATTAGATAAATTAATTTTTTGCTTAAATGTGCAACTATATTAGTTAAGAAAAATATAGAATGTCAAAATTTTGGATTTAATTCCTCTCACAAAAATAAATAAAAAAATTTAAAAATAGATATTTTATTTTATATTGCAAAAAAATTAAAAATTATGTTTTAAAAACATTAAATAAAATTAATTATTAAACACAAATTTTAGTTATCTAATTTTAAAGTAACTTTTTATTATTCTTTCGCTATATGTAATTCAATCATTCGAATTATTTTTATTTCACTTAATTCATGACATATTATTAATTTATTTTATTTTTTTATTATTTATTAATAATCTAACACAAAGAATGCCAAACATATTTTATATCTCATGAAACTAAGTACTTTAGTATTATAAAATATCAAGCAATTGAATTACGGGCAAAATGTTGCACTTAATGTTATATACTATTATTCATCTAGTATGTCTTTAAAGATGTGAGATTCTTAATCTACACGAGTTGGTGTTAGTTAAAAAATGCCAACAAACAAAATTGGCAAAATTGAATGATTAATGATGATCTTGGGGGCCTTTAGTGGGTCAAATGATAGGATTTGGCAAAGACATTCTTTAAAGTGTGAGGGTTTCTTTAGAGATTAATTATGTTGATAAATTTGTTGATAAAAGATTTAAAAGAGTACACTAGGAGAGATGTCAAGACGCCTAGTTTGAACTAGTTTAGAGAATATGTGTACTCAAGGAAGAACATGGTGGCACTCAGTTCTAGGGTAGCGCAGCTATTTTCTAACATTCCTTCATATTTCTAAGCAATTTTCTACTGTTTATGCAACTGGTTATGATCCATTGGTTGGAAATGGGTTCTCCAACTACTCGACGTCTTATTTGGATATCTTGGAAGGTATTAATTCCATGTCCAACACTTAAGTTTCTAATCTTCTTCTCCCTTAACATTTTCATGAGTAATTTGAGGGTGGCTCTGCAGCGAGGTTATTAAAAAAACCTTCCCACAAGAATGGAAAACTAGCCTTATTTCTAACTAAGGAGGAGACTAACATGCTAGTTGAACCCTTCAAGTTTACTTTGGCGGGTAAATTTACATATGTTTGCCCAAAATGGATGTCATCAGAAAATATTTTGCTGATTTAAAGCTTAAAGGCAACTTGAATGTTGGTTTGCTAGATGGGAGACACCAAATGATTAAGCTTAAGAAGGAAATGGACTATGCTTTAGATTCTCTAGAAAGGTGTTCTATGTGGAGAATGTTACAATCAAAGTATTAAAATAGACCCCTGATTTTAATCCTAAAGAGAAACCTCCCATTATCCCTATTTAGTTCAGGTTTCTGGGTTGAAACTTCATCTATTTAATAAACAATTGTTATACTCATTGGCTTCCATCTTTGAAAAACCTATAAAAATTGAATAGGCTACTTTCAATTTTTTTTAAACCATCTATGGATAGACTGATGGTAGAAAGAAATATTATTATTCCTTTTGTTGAATCTATTTGGATTGGCAGCCCTACTAATGGGTATTGGTAAAGTATTGAAGCTGAATAACTCCCTTCTTATTGCACCAAATGCAAAATGTTTGGGCATATATTAAATAGTTATTTTATTGCACACTTTAACCTAAGAAGAGCTAAAAAAGGGAGATAGAAGTTGGTCAAAAAGGGAAAGAAATGGTTAATGTTGCTACTCGTGGTGAACTTGAAATGCAAAATATTAATGATTTAGGTGTAGGAAACATCAGATGCAATATGGTTAATGAAATTTAGACTTTTACAAATCATTAGGGTGTTGTTATGCAAGGTCATCACAACTCTAAAGTGGGTAGTACAGAAATTGTGCAAGGGGTGAATGATGATCAAAGCAATGAGTTGGTTGGGTTACTTATTTTTGTAGTTGGTCAGAAGGCAAACTTGGATGAAGTTATTAAAACAATGTATGATTATTAAATGCTAGAACATAAGAATCTAGGGCTAGCAGGATGATCCAAACAACTCTAAATTTTAAAATCAATAAAGCTCACAAGGAAATATGTAAGGATAATACTGGTGGACTTGTGGACAAGCTTCCTATGATGATAATATGGTTAAACAAAATATATTGGTGATTCTACACATGAGGGATCTCAGTTTTCTAATTCTGAGGATAAGGATGGGCTGGAACAATGTAGTGAGATACTAGTTGGGAGATACTAGCTGGGCTAGAAATAAGGATGGGCTGGAACAATGTAGTGAGATACTAGCTGGGCTAGATATGAATTGAAAGAAGAGTGTAGGGTTAAGAAAAGTAGGAAGAAAAAAACTAAAGGCAGTAGGGAATTGGGGTATGTGCACCATGAAGCTATAATTCTAACTAATGAAATAGGCAGCAACAGAAGTTGTTAACCTCTCTTACTCCTCTCTAGGGTTGCTAGAGGTGAGAAAGCTCTTATGGTGGTTAATGCTATGATTTCAAATTTCAGGGGCATTGCTAAGTTTAATGCTTCCCTTAGAGTCAAAAATCTAACTAGAACTCATAAAATACAACTTTTCAAGATTCTAAAAACCTTAGTTGTTGTTGAAAATAACCTCGAGTATCTCAGAAGAATAAGAAATTTTGGTTTCTTTTCAAATGTTAATAAGAAAATTTTGATCATGTAGAGGAATTCATTGGAGATTAATGTACTTATAGATATCTCACATTTAATACATTTGATGGTTAGATGGGTCCATTTCTTGTTCTTTATGTCTGTTGTGTATGTTGGTTGCACCAAATTGACAAGAACGGAGCTTTAGAATTCTTAAAGTTGATCACTGGTTCTTTTAATGAACCCCTGGTTGTGGGTGGTGATTTCAATGTGATTACCAATGCTTTGGAAAAAAAAGAGGGCAAACCACCTAGTTACAGTCTAATGGCTGAGTTTGCCACAGTTTTAAATGATGTTGATCTATTTGATTTGAGGTTCAAAGGTAATACTTTCACCTAGGCCAGGGGTAAATTGTTTGAAAGATTGGATAACTGTCTTGATAATAGTAGCTGGATTAGAACTTTTTTGCATCATGTAGTCACCCATTTGTCTAGAAGAGATTCTGATCATGCTCCCCTCCTTTTTTATTAGTTTTTCTCATAAGAAAATGAATTCTATATTTAAATTATTAAATAGGTAGACTCTTCATCCTTCTTTACACCAATTTGTCACAGATCATTGTTAGTATGAGGGCAATGGTAATGCTAGTGATAGATTATGATTTTTGCAGAAAAAGTTGGCAAGAGATTTTAAGCATCAGAATTGGGAGGTTTTTGGTCATCTACAAACATGAGACCAATTAGTTAAATGATGTGTGTAGATTTAGTGTCTAAATTTTACAAATATCTTTCAATATTACAAAATACACACAACAGATATAACAATAAATTTTCAATATAATCTCAACAAAAATACCTTTTTATGAAAATAGTTTATCTTTAAAACTCTTTTTAAACTGCCAAATCCCCTTTAAAATCAATGCAAGTATTTGTATCTCAAAAAATACAGGGCCTTAATGAAGTCCTAGATATTGATCTCCCAGGTAAGTTGGAAAAACCTATAAGTAAATTCTTAAAATTATTTTATAATTTTAAAATACAAAAAATAAAAGTAAAGTGTTAAGTTTGAATATTAACTACTAAAGTGAATGCTATATAATGCAGTTGAAAGACAGAGTTAAGTAACTAAAAACTAAACTTTCAAAAGTAAAATTACGAAAACTAAACAAAGTTTTTGTTGATGGAAGACTCAAATTTAAGAAAGCATCCTTACATTTTACAATGAGTATATGGGTTGTGAAAAAATTAAAAATCATTT